ATGTCAAATATTGGTTTTACATGAACATCTTATAAATACCGGTATGTTTGATATATCAAAGTTCTAAATCCGCATCATATTCCACCTAAACAAATGGCCAGGTTTTTTATATATTTATATGGTTCTCCCTTGTCAGTGATGCAGGACGGAGGGCCTGACAAGGAAAGCTGTCTAATCGTTCGGATGGGACGAAAAACCGAGGTCCCGTGTACACTTTGGCGTGCACGTAAAAGATCCCTTGGCAGTTGGAATTCGATATAAAAGTAGGCCGTAGTGCCGCTGTCCGGGCAAAATTTCCCTCATAGCACACTGTATGGCGTATGCCCGTCTTCATTAGCCCAGGTTAGGAGCAGAACAGTAGGACGTTAAACCCCATTTCATTTCATTTCATATATATTTATATAATATATATCCAGAAAATTGAGCACCGGGGAAAAATTACGAATTTATGAGCATTTTGATTTGAAAAGAAGAACTTCTGACTTTTGACGTAATTCAGTTCGGGCTGCTCATTTAAGTCGCCGAACATAACAGTACTGATAAAAATTACAATAATCTAAGAAATTGAATGTAAATTACTTAACATACATTAACGAAAAGAAATGAAATGGGGTTAAACGTCCTACTGTTCTGCTATGGCTGGGATAATAAAGACGCCATACATTAACGACCCATTATAAGAATTAGCTCATTTAAAGTATAGCCTAGTAACATTCCTTTATATTCGACGTTTGTCTTGGATTGCAGATTTGCTATCGAATACAAAAATTAAGGATGCATTGTGTAATATTTAGATAAAGAGATGGGCGTTCTTGTTCTAATAGTTTAAAAATAGATAATGAAAAATGAATATATTGAATTTTTTTTTAATTCAAATTACTTTATTCTAAGGGCAGTTATGACTGTTTGAAGATAATAGCGTAGATCGTTCATTATCGTAGTAACGGTTCTTCACAGTCAATATTCAGCCTCGAATGTCGTTACGTTTTTAAATCTCGCAGATGTTTAAAACCATTTAAATTTCAGCAATCCGATGGTTATAATCTTGCCATGTTAATAAATGTCTAAATAACATTTGAAGCCAAACAATAAAATACATGCAATAGACATATTTAGCTCATACATAATGCATCTTTAAGCACAATCTCTACTAACCAGTGGTCAAATACAAATCAGTGGATGGATAGCAAGTAGGCTCGCTAGAGGAGAAAAAGTATCATAATGGTACCACGTGTTTCCCAACCGGTAAACAAACCCTGCCTCGTGCCCTTCCCCCTCACTGCTGTCGTGTTAGATAAAAGCCAACTATGATCAAACGGAAACATTAGGAATACAAATTCATGGTTGAATAGACGGTTATGGTGTTTAACGTCATTTCTACACTAGCCAGGTCATTTCATGACTTAGATATGACATGTTTTATTTTTAAAATTCGCTTGCACACAGGGACCTTTCTAGAAGTGTAAGGAAACAGGAGTAAACAGGAGACAAAACCACGAGGTTAGATAGGCGATTCTATCACTGTTCACTTAAGACCTGTCAGGCCTGGCACCCTGCATGGCTCCCTTTCAAAAAAGGTATTGGTAACGTTTTCCTAAATAAGCGACCATTTAATAATAAGGGTTAAGGAGCAATACGATCAAAAATTGGTAAATGTTGCGCAAGAATTTTATGCGCACTGAACGGCCCTAGTTGATGATTATAGTTCTCAGAATATATAACTAATATACAATTCAAGATAAGAAAACGGGAAATTCATCCATATGAATTATTTTGCAATTTGTAGTAATTATTCAGATTGATATTGACGTTGAAGTTGAATGGTTCATCTTGGCTTCGTTTGATCTTATTTCCATTCCACAAATCAGGTCGCCACCATTTTGTCTCTTTAAAACTGTTTTGACACATCTATTTAAAATCCGGATTTTGTGGCAACAATTTTCTTACGACAGTAAGGATTCGCTTAAGGCAATTATTTAAGACAAAGCGCAATATGCAGACAAATTATAATAGACAGTTACTTTCTATTTCAACAAGATTTCCACGAAGTCAACGATAAATCACCACAGGAAAGAAATATATAAACTAGTAACAAACTGGACGTGAGCAAACCTTTACAAGACTGTCAGCCAGTGCCGGACTGGTGAGCCGAAGGCCCTACTGTCAGGTCATTGACCAAGGACCACAGGGAGGTCTGGAGAAGTTTGAAAATTTTGAAAACTGACAACCGCAAACCCACTTTCCAAGCATTTCAGAACAAAGCAGAACAAGGCAAATTTTTGATTTCCTGATACAATTAGATGAATTTGAGAATTCTCTTCAATGTCAAAAACAAAAGATGAATTACACGGTTCTCGGTATAATGAGGTCAAACTCATAAAGTTCTTTCCTTGTAGTACACTTCTTTTTTTTTGTGTTGTTTGTCAGTCATTTTTTTCCTATATTTTCTTTCTCCTGTTCTGTGTCCTGTCCTCTCCTTCCTTCTTTCTTTTCTCCCCCCCCCCCTTCTTTCTCTTTTCCTTTTTTTCTTTTTCCTTTTTCTTTTTTTTTTTTCTTTATAGGCTTAGGCCCACTTTTTTTAATGAGCATAGGCCCACCTGTCACGGACAGGTGGACAGGTGGGCACAGTCCGGCACTGCTGTCAGCACCAAGTCCTCAGAATGTTGTACATGCCCATAGAAGAGTAGTGAGGGTGATGGAGAATAACAACATGCCTCTCATCACTAAAAACCTGCTCTTCCCGAACCCAGGCCTTAAAGGACCTAAATCGCTAATATTTGGGACCTAGAAATTGACACAAATGGGTCGCAACGCATATAATAATGTAATATTAATGTATATAAAGTGATTTATATACAATCGTTTCCGTTTTTACTTTAATTTCAAATCAGATATGTTCGGCGAAATACGCCAGAAGTGTCAATCGAATGGCTATCACTAGCGTCTGGTTATTCCACTCTACGACGATAGTATTTATTGCGCATGCTCTCCAGATAAGAATATGGCATCGCCGTTTGACATGACGTGTGGAATATGTCTAGCCTCGTTCTTCGAGTCCCTTATTACAAATGATGCTGAAACGCATTATGGTATGTGTACCAATGTTAAAATGTTTATTTTGTCTTAAATATTGGATATCAGAAGCCCAGCTTTTCAAGATACGATAACAACACCAATGTTGATTTAAATTGACAAATAATTCGTGTTTTCGATGTCGAAGACTTTGGATAACACTGACTTAGAAATTTAGCTACTTTAAGTATCGCTCGGATGTTTATATTAGACACATACTATACGCTGTTTTACTAACACCATGAAATAACATTTCGAGTCCTATTTCGTGTTGAAATTAAATAGGGTTTTACCTACTTTTCTGTGACGACGGGGCTTATGAAGATGGCCATACGCTATGTAGTTTACTTTGAGGGAAATTTTGCCCGGACAGCGGTATTTCTGCTTACTCTTCATTCTAACTGTCAAGGGTTATTTTACGTACACGGGACGTCGGCGTTTCGTCCTATTCGAACGACTAGAAGCTATCCGTATTTGGTATCAGATATTCCGGAAATAACAAGCGTGTCCTACTCTTACTTGACATCCTTCACAGTTTGTAACTATGAAGTTAAAGCTGGCCAAAGTTTATGGAATGAAGCAAGAGTGTCCTAACTCAATTCCAAATGTATAGGTGCTAAACACATTACGTCTCAATAGTATTATTATTTTTAGAAAAAGACCTACATGAATATACTACTGATTTTCACACCATCTTTGTATAATGTGATATTTGTTTTCCATTATAACTGTTTAATATCACTGTTATGTAATACAATTGTTTGGTTAATGATAACAACCTAATTTCCGCTTATGTGGTAATGAGGATTGAAAACCAATCTTAAAGGGAAGTAATAAAATCTGTGTGTTCGAGTCTGTCAGTATTATTCCTGTTGTAACGTCGACTTTTAACGTATGATAAATTGCACTAAATATACGACCCTGACCAATACGACGTTAATTAACTTTAAAGGAGCTAAATCGCTAATATTTTTGGACCTAGAAATTAGCCCTAAAGGGTCGCAACGCATATAATGATGTAATCTGATTGTATATAAACTGATTTACATTCAATTGTTTCCGTTTTGACTCTAATTTCAAATCAGTTATGTCCAGCGAATACGGCATGAGTCTCAACCGAATAGCAATTTCTAGCGTCTGGTTATTCCAGTTTATTGCGCATGCTCTCTAGATAAGAGGTGTCACCGTTTGACAGGAGTTGTGGAATACGTTCTTTCTGGTCCTTGTTACAAATGACACTGAAACGCACTATGGTACACGATTCGTGTACCAATGGTAAAGTGTTTATTTTGTCTTAAATATTGGATATCAGAAGCCTACCTTTTCTCGGTAAGATCACAACATCAATGTTGATTTGAATTGACAAATAATTCGTGTTTTCAACGTGTGAGACTTAGCTACTTTAAAGTAAACATCTTATAAAATGACATCCAGTGTTGACAATAAAAGTGTATATAAATTGGTGCCCTCATTACAAATAATACGCATTTCCATTTTACTAAATTAAAACGTATTACACACTATTATTAGCGAGGTGATTAACAACAATAATTTGTTGCCGATTAGTAGGCAATATTTCAAATGCACACTCTCCCCCATCTGGTCAATATAATGGTCATGATTGGTCAGGTAGAAGCACGTGATGCTCTGCGTCACAACTCATTCACAAATGAATCTAAATGACATGCTATATTACAATAGGAACTGTTCAGCTTTAATTTATATTCACTTGAGATAACGAGAATCTCATTCAAGCGTATAATTAGGGGAACAAACGGTTATCCGCGTTTCTAAAAACGGCTCTAATAACTGTTTTATCTGATGCCAAACTGTCGTTGGATAAACTCCGCCCACGCCACGGACCTCGACATATAAAAGTTGCTCTTTTTCCAGATCGTTCGTCCTGTTATTTTGTATTATTAGAAGACATTCGAGGATGTTGTTTCTTGATTTTGGATTGAGTATTCCATCGATCCGTCTTTAGTTTTTAGATAGGTTATTTATAGAAAAAGGTTGCAATTTTTTAAAAATATTTTATTATTTCCGTATTTTGAAGTAACATCTTGTTTTTCGCTAAGAAATATACTGTGGTAATTAGCTTCATAGTGCTGACTTTTATTTGTTGATTCTCCGTGACTTTCTTTGATTAGTTCTGGTAGTTTCATTATACCAAAAATCGTCGCATCACCTCCAAGCAATTGTGATTTGTACATAGTCTTCCTGTTGATTCACAAAACCCGCCAAACTGGGGAACTGCGTAGAAATTTGTAAAGTGGCTATCAGAAATGCCCCTGGAGTGGGTCCGGGGTGTTCTTTGCCACCAGAAAGACGAATGACCACGCCTCCATTGGACAGACGTGTAGCAGCAATTAGAGATGAATCACAGGGTAAAAGTAGTGTAGCAAGAAAAAGAAAATGTAATAATATTATACCACCATCAGAAAGTCAGATGAGAGCTTTGGAGGTAAGACAAAATATTTTAAAACTTATTTCCACGAAAATAACGCGTAAAAAAGGGCATTTTAAAGAAACGTTACTAAGTAAAAGTGTTCTTCTATTGAACAAACGAAAGTTAGCTAATTAACAAAAAGTCAGATACCATGCGACAATTGCATAAAATAAAAAAAGACAGAAAAACTTACAGATTTAGTTAAACATCAATACAACAAACTAATGTGATGAATTTCAGACTGACGTGTTTGCAATTATGAGGTTATCCGTTGTTCATTATTTTATTTAACAGGATAGTTTGCGGAATATCGATGGAATCAGCAGCCCATCTGGTTTCGGTAAAACTACCTCCATCGTTTTCTCATTAAGAAATCAAATTGGACATTTGGCTAGTGCCCTACAAATATTCCAGGTTAGTTTAAAGCATATCTTTGATTTTAGAAATAGGAACTCATGCATTGCAAGTAATTTATAAAGAAGAGTGTATCCAACCAACATGGATTTTGTTTTTTTGTAAGAAAATTAATTTAAAATTGTTATATTCTGTGTTGTTGAAATTTTTAGTTTATTAAATTGTTTTTGTTTTTCGTCAAAACTGATTATTTGTATATTTTCAATGAATATGAAATTATTTTATGTCAAATACCTTGTCCTCCTTCTGTCTCCGACTTCAGTGGAAGGTCTGATAATGTTCTTTAAGAATATGAAGCTTTATAAATTATTGCAGGAAAATAATATCAATGTTGTTCATATCGAATCGAGAAAATCTCGGATGAAGGATGCTCAGTATGATATATATGTTGATGTTGAAACAGACAATATAAGATTAGAAGAATTGGTTAACAGATTAAAGAAAGAAGTAGCTAATATAACATTTAATGATATAACGGTACCATTGTCTCCACCACCAAATGTACAAGATTCATGTGAGTTTTCTTATATATTTTTTTCAAGCCCAGCAACTATAGTTAGTAGCGTTGGTTAATGTTTTAACGCAGTATTTTTCCGGTGATGCTTACCAAAGACAGATAGTCTTCCAAAAACGTACGCATGCTGAATATTAAAAATATTATGTGAGGAGTATTAATGACCTATGCTCCATTTGTAGACGGTACTCCGTTTAAATTGCAGCTTGAGGTGGATGTTATACTACAACGACTTTGCTATAACAAAAAGAACTTCTTGCCGTTTCGTATTTCAATATGCGCTCATTTTTTGATGTCGTTTCTACGATGAATTTACAATGAAGGTATATTATTATGGTATATTATTATATTTTAGGTGATATGTCAAATGTACCATGGTTTCCCAGAAGTATTCAAGATCTTGATTTCAGTGCACATCGGGTTTTAATGTACGGAACTGAATTAGATGCCGACCATCCAGTAAGTCGAATTTTCAAATACACTGCAATATTGTAAATACTGAAAGAAAACCACGAAGCCTAAAATAAACTATACCAAGACTTTGAGTGAATATCCAATAAAAGAAACATAATATGTTGAAAGGACAGGCTTTAAACCATCGGATACATTGGTATTGGTTATATTTAAGTGTCGTATATTTAACCACAGCTTCAGTTCCAAGATTGTCAAACTTCTAAAGGAATTTAAATAATAGTTAATTTGTCTTGGTGTAGTTTGTTTTAGAGGTCAGCTATTTAGCAACAAGATATAAGAAACTGAATAAAGGTGCCACCATTCTTAATAGATCTGACTGCCGCAATCGGGAGTGGAAACAATGGATCCAAATGATATTTGTAGCGTTTTAATATAATAATATGTATATTTACAGGGATTTAAAGATGAAGTATATCGTGAAAGAAGAAATTATTTCTCCAAGATTGCTATGCAATATAAACAGTGAGTAGTATTAAGGTGTTTCAGTCCATTTACGGTTCACTTGTATATATAAATGTTGGATTTTTTAAGCCCATGTGCAGAATGCAGACTATTCTGAGATATGAGATCAAGAAATTCAAATAAGTGTATATGGCATATTCGAAACATGTTCTTTACGTGTAAGGCAAATAAAATTGTCTTCTAGAATTAAGATAACTAAAAATGAATATAATGAAAATATTATTCAAATTACTTTATTCTGAGTGAAGATACAGTGTATCAATGTTTGAAGATGTAACGTAGATTGTTTATTATCGTAGCAACGGTACATGACAATCGATTATCCATTTTTAACTTAAATTATTAAAGGGCGATGGTGTTTCAATCCATTTAAATCTCGGCCATCCGATGTTCTAGAGAGTTCAATAAAGAAAGGCTTGTCATGTGAACAAATATCTAAATAATAATTCATGTAACATTTGAAGCCAAAATAAAGGTCTACAATAGACACATGATATAGGTTATACATGTAGGTGTGCCTGGTTATTGTCAGTACTTGCCTCCCACCAAAATTGAGTTTTCATTGATTTTGTAGATATACATCATCTGTGCAAATAACAAAAAACAAATTCTACGAAATTTGATTAAAGACATGATGAGTTCACTTAAAACGAACCAGAGGAGTGAAAACCCATTCCCTTACTAGATCTTTCAAGAATATGTAATCTAGTGTATTACAAACTTGTAATCGAACTCCGTCGGATCTATAAAGTTACATGTAACAATAATTGTTATCATTTGATCGATACCCTTTCCATTATTCTTATTTTATTGCTTTCTATTGATTTGGTGGCAGATTTGATCCGGTGGTTTGAATATTTATTAGGTGTTATTCCAGTGACTGGTACGTGTCACTTATCTGATTTGATAGATTGATCAAATTAGGCGGCATTCGTATTTACATAGTATAGATAAACATCTCATTCTGAAACGTTCGTCAAATTACGTATTCATAGTATTCCGCTTTTAACAGAGAAAAGTATCGGTTATAAAACATCGCTAATGATGTTTGCATTCTACTATTTCGTAATTCAATGCACAGATCCGTACTTGTTCAGAGCACAAAAAATAAAGTTTACTCTTTGAATATGGCTTCAAATATTTTGGGTCAAATCCAGGATTTAATTAAGTACTAGAAAGTATGAATGTAATTTAAGATGACGTATTGGCAAGAATGTCAAACGGAGCAAGGGATGTTAGTGATACAAAAACATTTGTTTAAATGTTTGCCTATCAAACTAATATGGTAAATCATTAGCTCCTGAACATTTTCTGCTAGTTTATATTGATTTTAAAGTCCCAAAATAGATGTTTATCCTGTAAAGAATTTTTTATATTTTTTTTTTGGGGGGGGGGGGGGTATGTTTTTTGTTGTTTTTTTTTCGAGTAGAAAGCTAGTAGATATTTTACAAGCTTCTAGCCAAATAAATTATCTTTTAAATTGAGCTATTGAACTGTTAGTTAGTTAAACAAAAATGTATGTCCTATATATTGGTAAAACTATTTTGTGTTTTAGTGGGGAACCCATACCTAGAGTTGAATATTCAAACGAAGAAAAATGGACGTGGTAAGTCGAACGTAATTGTTACAATTATACAATAGTGGATTATAATGATGCACCATTCTCCAACTCTTTGCCTAGACGGCTTGCGGTATTTCTTCCATTATCAATACTTCGTTTCGCTTTAAGTACTCACCTCAAGACGAAAATTGGGAAAAGGATAAAAAATTGCTTAATTGGTAGAGTATAATTAGCATAATTTATCGAATGGAGTCCATATTATCAAAGGTCTTTCCCATATATAGGCAATAGATGTCTGGTCATTAAGTTCAGCTTTTATGGAGGTTTCAGTAGGGACAGATGGACACCTCACCGCTTTACCCATTAGTATATATAACGTCTGATATAAGTGTATGAATGTTGATATTACAATTTGTGTATATGTTTGTAGGGGAACAGTATTTAGAGAATTGACAACATTATATCCAACTCATGCTTGTAGGGAATATCTTACTAATATACCTCTATTAGTTGAACACTGTGGCTACAGGTAAGTTCATTAATAAAACCAATTTCAAAAGAGTACCAGTTCATAATGACATACTTGAATGATCAAAATAGTTTAAATGAGAAACCTTTCAATATATAATAATATGATATGTGACATTGCATCAGTGTATTGTAATTAATGTTAATCACTTTGTTTTTGTTTATTAACACAGACAAGACAATGTACCACAACTTGAAGATGTTTCTAATTTCCTTAAAGGTAGGTCAAACTAATAAAGTTCAATGCATTTCAATGAAGAGTTGTTTTACTCTCTCTATCTCGAGAATGTAACTTTTTTATATTCAAAACATGACCCCTTTACCCCAACCCACACAAACAGGGGGTAGTACATGTGTTTACTTTTACTATTTTCACATTGTAATGAATAATATTTAAATTGGTTATAAGGTCAGTGGGGTGGGGTGCATTTGGAGAAGAATTAAGCGAAATCATGTCTGAGAAACACCTTTGTGGCATCACGGTTAGATCTGTAACATCTTAATCGATTGTACAAACATCATCTGATTGAATCTCGGACGTTTAGTAATTGGTGGATTACGGTTGATTTGCATCAAAGATTAATATCTATTTAATAAATATTTGCTAATGTATCAACAATGTTAGTTGGTTAAGCTTATAAAGATCGGTAATTATTCGGCATTTTTTATTAAAGGCTAAAGGCTAAAATTAATTTGTACCCTATTCAAAAGCAATCTTGGCTCGTTGTATATATCTCTACTGGCGTCTAAAATAAACTATACCAAATTATATATTTGATAATAATAGTAAGACCATTGCTAAATATATACATGTAATCCCAATACAACCAGCTATGTTTGTACGTTACTATACCGAAGTCCAAAAGAAAGTATACACACTAAAAATATGACTAAGTTTTGTTTAAATCAAAAACATGTGATAAAACTACGCTGAACTAGTATCGTGCGTCCAAACTCAATATTTCTAAGCAAATAAAAGGCAAACCAAATGGACATTGTGCCCAAATACCGCATACAATGGAAAAACGACTTTGTTTGAAACAGGACGAAATGAACAGTGTATACTTTCTTTTGGACTTCAGTATATATAAAAACAATGTCCAGAAATTAAACACCATTCTCTTCTTTCGGTATCAAACATGCTTCCCATCGTACGTTATGTCTAGGATAAAATGCATATTATGTACATATCCATGGTAATTGACTTTATTTCTTAATGTATTTGTATTTTAGCTCGAACCGGATTTCAGCTTCGACCAGTTGCAGGCTATTTATCATCACGTGATTTTCTGGCAGGGTTGGCCTTCCGATTATTCCACTGTACACAATATATCCGACACAGTTCTGATCCTTTTTACACACCAGAACCGTAAGTATAAGAAACTTTCCTATGCAGAGCAGATTGAGCTGACTTGTACTGACATATTAGAAAATTAAACTGGTCGGGATGGGGTTATATCAGATGTTCTTCCATCCGGGGGCGGGAGGGGTTACCTTGTTTATATAATCTAATGATCTTCCATTCGTACCCCCCCCCCCCTAGAAAATGGAGTATCCATTCACCGAACATTGTTTTTAAGAAAAAAGTAATAAGTCTAATAAATGTTGTTGTGTTTTATTTTATCTCAGAGATTGTTGTCATGAGCTGATGGGTCATATGCCTTTATTGGCGGATGCCAGTTTTGCTCAATTTTCTCAGGAAATAGGTTTGGCTTCTCTTGGTGCATCAGACGAAGAGGTGTCTAAACTTTCAACGGTAATTATGCAACCTTATAATTAGCATTATAATTAAAATGCAAACACTACTTTATTTCGAAATTTTAAAATAATAAAAAAATACCTGGGGTCTTATTCCAGAAAACTAGACTAAAATATTTTAAGAATGCTGCCTTTTCATTGCCTAAGGGCTAAAATTTGTGCTTTGATTTTAGTGCTCAGACGAAGGACCATTAGTATTCTCCATGAATATGGCCCTCGCATTTTAATCAGACTGGACACGATTCTAATAAAAGCGGGACATCCTTGCTTCAGTGGAACATCATTATTTCCAAAAGATAGATACTAACTATCCATTCGTCGTGTTTTGTGCACACACTTCTGGTGTAATTACCAGCACCAATAGTACTACTTCCCCATATTATAATACTTCTTTATCCAATTAACTGCAAGAAATTAGTAATTAGTCAGGCGACATTCGAACATAGAAAGTTTCTCTTTATTTATGTTATGCATCGAGAACAACCGAACGTCAGTTGTGCATGATTATGCAACAGTGCTGCAAAATGAAATGGGGTTTAACGTCCTACTGTTTTGCTCCGAACTGGGCTAATGAAGACGGGTATACGCCATACAGTCTGCTATGAGGGGAAATTTTGCCCGGACAGTGGCACTACGGCCTACTCTTATATCGAATTCCATCTGTCAAGGGATCTTTTACGTACACAGAACCTCGGTTTTTCGTCCCATCCGAACGACTAGACAGCTGTCCTTGTCTGGCCCTCCGTCCCGCATTAATGACAAGGGGGAAACTACACCGGAAAATGTCTCGGCCAATGCAGGGATCGAACACCCGACCTCCTCGCTAGCGAGCCAGGGTCTTACCCAATTAGCCACCGTGACCCCCCGCAACAGGACTGCAATAAAGGAAACGAATTGCTGTATAACATCCTATACTGGGCTAATGAAGACGGGCATTGCAATAGGTCATCACCACGAGTAGAACTATTTAACAACCATCGTTGGGTTTTTTTTGTACCCTCCGGTCATCTTCATACTTTAATAATCTTCTTACAGTGCTACTTTTTTACTGTGGAGTTTGGTTTGTGTAAACAAGATGGTGATTTACGAGCTTATGGTGCCGGACTTCTCTCTTCTATTGGAGAACTAAAAGTAAGTTTTATTTTCACGGTTATATAGTTCCATAAATCAAACCATCCCTTTAGTTATAGCTAAAGGTTATGATAAGCGAGGCGGGGTATACTTACGCTTTTAAGAACGTCTGACACCACTCCTCACAACTAACACATTTCTTTGTCCTTTTGTCTTTAGGTTTAAATAGTATATGTCAATTGAGAATTATAAAACCGTCAAAGCTTATAACTGCATATCATCAGGGGCATCCTAGTCATCTTCACGGTGAATATAGTAATAATTTTACATGGTGACGATGCACTGATAATGATTAGAGAAAACTGGGTTAGGCCTACATATTATGTTAGATAGGCCAATTTTAAAGTGGGAATTTTGCATTACAGCATGCTTTGACAGATAAAGCAAAGAAGATTAGGTTTGAACCGATGAGAACAAGTCAGCAAGAATGTCTGATCACAACATTTCAAGATGTTTATTTCTTTACTGATAGCTTTGAAGACGCCAAGGAAAGAATGAGGTAAAGAATTATTTTGTGTACAGGAAGTCTAGGAACGGACATTGTCCAGAACGCGAAACTTTTCTGGATATGTCATTGAATTAAATGAAAACTATACATTAAGTTAAGTGGATATTGTCTTACCCCTAATCCAATCCAATAGCAAATTTGCTAGAATATACTCATAGTTCAGCTAAATATAATGTAGGAACTTCGATCTCGTGTATTTTGAGTGTTTATTGGGTGACGCGAAACATTCCTTGATAAAAGTAGGAGCGATTCATACAGAGCCAATTTAATGTAATGCTGATTCGCTACAACAAAACATTCTCTTAGTAAACTTTGAGGTGGTGTCGAGCGAGGTATTGTACCTTCGTAGCTAAATACCCTTGCAGCCATGCACTGGGACGGCATTCTCGTACCACACAGACTATTGCTGCCCACTATGCTCGGTGTCGAGTATATGTAAAAGTGACCACATAAGAATTTTCATTAACCAGACTATGTTCATTTGATGTTTACGAACTGAGGCGAATCTGAGTATTTTATAGATAACAGTATTACCACTGCGCTGGTAATGCAGGTATGTCCAGATGTGAAAGCAAAGTTTTATAAGCATTACCTGTCTGGGTTACCCTGTTGGTTTTATCCTTTACCCAATAACAAATGGAATGGGTCTTAAAGTCCTACCTTTCTGCAACAACCGGACTAATGATGGGTTTAAACTCAATAGCATCGTAGAGCAACCTAGCTGAAAGTGTACCAATTTTCTCCTATATGGTATCAATGTATGTATATCTGGTATCATCAGAATGTAAGTCTGCCGGGTTTCTGGTGGTGGGTGTGGTATTCCACGCCCAAAATGCCATGATCCCCAACTAGGCTAGATTAGCTCAAAAGTGTACCACATGAAAATCGCACAGCAATGTACCGTACATCTTCGGGTATTACAAAAACACTCTGACAGACATTTCTAGTGGTGGGGTACCCCTGGCAGAGCTATTTAATTGCCAGACATTTGTAGTGATGGAGTATCTCTGACAAGTGTTATCTAATTTCCAGACCAAAGCTAGGCTAGATTAGCTCAAATCTGTACCACCTAAAACAGCTTTGGAGTTGTTCAGTACCACCACAGAAATTATGAATGACCACTAGCAGACAGTTTGTGCGGTGGGTTGCCCCTAACAGACACGCCCCCCCCCCCCCAACTAGGATAGATTAGTCGGCACGGTTCCTGTGGTCCAAAAAATTAAAAATTGTGCCAGGATGCGTAGAATACTAATACCTAGCACATATGGAAGGTGCGATAAACTGCGGTTGTAGGAACAATTTTATTTTTCAAAAACGCATTTTTAGCCCCATAAAATGTTTTTTGGCCAAAAATCAATTTCTTGCAATCGCAGTTTATCGCCTCTTCCATACTTGCTAGGTATTAGTATCCTACGCATCCTGGCTAAAAATCTATTTTTTTAGAACACGGGAACAGTGCCTGCGAAGCTAGCCTAGTTGGGGGCGTGGCATTTTGGGGCGTGGCATTTTGGGGCGTGTCTGTTAGGGGTAACCCACCGCACAAACTGTCTGGCAGTTGTCATTCATGACTCCTGTGGTGGTACTGAACAACTCCAAAGCTGTTTTAGGTGGTACAGATTTCAGCTAATCTAGCTTAGCTTTGGTCTGGAAATTAGATAACTCTTGTCAGGGATACTCCACTACTACAAATGTCTGGCAATTAAATAGCTCTGTCAGGGGTACCCCACCACTAGAAGTGTCTGTCAGAGTGTTTTTGTAATACCTGAAGATGTACGGTACAATGCAGTAAGATTTTCGTGTGGTACACTTTTGAGCTAATCTAGCCTAGTTGGGGATCATGGCATTTAGGGCGTGGAATACCACACCCACCACCAGAAACCCGGCAGACTTACATTCTGATGATACCAGATACATGTATACATACATTGATACCATATAGGAGAAAATTGGTACACTTTTCAGCTAGGTTGACCCCCTGGGCTCCCGGTCTATCGGTTTATGAAGTCCAGGCTCATGTAATTTTTTCCAGCCAGACAAGGTTTGCTTACTAACACTATATCACCTGGTTTTGTATCATATTTTTCAGGCAATTTGCCAGTACAATAAAACGACCATTTGCTGTGCGCTACAATCCTTACACCAACAGTGTGGATGTTTTAGACAACACGAGATGCATTGCTACGGTTGTGAGCGAACTAAAGGGGGATCTTTGTATTGTCAGCGATGCTTTAAGGCGATTACAGATGCTGGAGAAGAAATTAAATGAATACGAAAACAAACCCAACCATTCCCTGGGGTCACCTCTTGACAGACCTTCTCGACATGTGACTGAAAAGCTACAAATGATTGGTCAACGAGAGAGTATTGATTTGTCGTTATAACTAGCCGACTGTTTGTATAGAGCTCTCACATCTAAAACCATAAACTTTTTGAAAACATTTTGAACAGTTTTATTCAATCTAATTTAAAAACAACAATTTGTTAAAAAAAAAAAAAAAAGAGTAATAAGAAGCACCTGGTAAATGGCCACAGATCACCAAAGATTTCCCCTTGGAACAAACTGTGGCAACTTCTTGCTTTAAAGAATCCGTGAGGTTCCCCATAGAAATCTTGTGTAAAAAAACCCATGAAACTAGTATACTAGTAAACACGTAATAGTCCGTTGTGCATTTCAACTAACCAACCACTTTAAAATCACTTATATTTCCCTCTCAAAATCATAAATATTGAACAAACCATGGCAGAAATCATAAATTCAAACCCCTTTCATCCATTCTAAAACACAAATTGTCATTGAAAATGGCAAGGTGTATAGAGAGAGAGGTATACTAATGCGCAGAGGGAACGAAGTGTGTGTGTGTGGAGGGGGGGATTAATGGTGGTCTGTGTCCTGTGTACCACTTTCAAATTTTAAGATAAACCAAATTTGTGTACGTTTCCGGGTTAATTTATATTATATTTTGTTATTAAAGATACATTCCCGCGTACAAACTGGGCGATTTAATGGTATATATGGACTAAAAACATATTCAAACTAATTAATTTGTCATAATTTTGCTTCAAATCCTCCTCAAACATTGTAATTGCGAAGGAATGCTCTGCTATAAAAATTAGATCAAACCAGGTCATGTTTACGTCACGTGACTTACCTCTCTTGGAAGTCAGAGGAGAATTCATTGCATACATAAGACGATGTTGTCTTTAATCGCTTACTATTTATTACAGATATCGAATCCTAATTAAATTCTCGGATTATCAACTACCCGCGTTTTTTTCCGTCATTTTTATCTCAGAAAGTGTTGTACGTCTAACTCTTCATAAAGTTTATCAACTTGTACATCAAGCGCTCAATGTTCGCGTGTGACCTTTGACATCACGCGTGCAGAAATTTCTAATCGTCGGGCTGTCGATTAGGGGAACCCTAACATTTTTATCCTGTATACGCTCCATGAGTGTTTTTCGGGGAATCCAGTATTTTTCTAGTAAGATTGAATATCTCTACTTTCCATATATACCAAAATTGCCATATTTTTATTGGAAATAACCACCCGACAAATACTTTTCTTGGACCCATCTTATCATAATAACTGTGTTAAATAACCACTGAAATTAACACTGTATTTATTTATTTATTTACTTATTTTATACTTTCCTTGGTGGAATTGTCTCTGTTTACAGAAATTGGTTGACGTTGCTGCCATTATTGTTGTTGATGGCCCAAATAATAATGAGTTAATATTTCTTGAACGGAAGAGCAGTTGTATGCGTTGTAAATCTAAGAGTTTGAAAGATTAAGTTTGTTGTAAATATGTGCAGAAATGATAAATAACTGCAATGTATAGTACATTTTTATGGATAGACCGACTGGTTTGTTCAGGTTTAAACCAATTGTATTGGTGATAATACCCCATTTTTTTCTGTTTAATTTATGAAATAAACCAAATCTAAGTATCAAAGTTGGTTGTTTACTATTCTGTTGAAATCACTAATGCCAGTAAGTCATTCGTTTCATGGTAAATGGTCGCCACTACTACTACTACTACTATAGGGGTTCACGTCCATTCCATAACAGTCAAATTGCAATTTTTACTCTTCTTTGCGTTTTTTATACCTTTAGGAAATAAAAGAGAGCACTACTCAAACATATATGGGGTTGCACGTCTTACTCAACACCAACTGGACTAATGAACACGGAAATACGATACAGTATGATTTTAATTAAATACTCAAATAATTTCGAAGTTTCCTGATATTTCACTGGGTATTTAATAATAAATCAAATTCTGCAACTGTTAAAAGTGTGGGATAGGGTGGATTCATCTGAGGGAAAAATATCTTCACAATGTCTTGAAAAACGTATGGGGTGAATTTGTTTATGGTTATCATATCAAAACTTAAATGCATTGGAGATTAGTTTTCAGTTTAATAAGAAAAATATTTGTACAAACGAGATGATAATTATAATAATTGGGATGATAATAAAATGAATCTGTTCATAGATGATATTAAAAAAGACATGTTGTGAGGAAGGGAAACATACACCAACAACTACTAAGTAGCATATTTTTTGTGGGTAATTGGGGCATTTAAAAGACACCAAAAACTGATCATGGGTAACAACCCATGAAGTAATTATCAGAAATAACTAAAATTTGATTGGCGTCTAGTTCTTCCTAGTGCTAACATTTAGTATACAACAAAACATTAACTTGTATCAGATGATAACTATAATATAATATAACGGTTCAAGTAGTCGGATATCGCTGAAAGAGGCTTTTTTGTTCAAGAACATAAACACTTTACGTTGTCCACAGGCAATTGCGAACCACGCGTTGACTGACGTATGGACGAATGGACGGGGGTGACGGAATTATATCACATTTCAAAATAAAAAAGGAATGATAACAATTTACAGTATAAAAGTGTTATGTATAGAATAAACGACGTGAATGATTTGTAAAATATTATAAAGGCTGTCCCCGCTGTGATCGTTAAAAATAGACAATGAAAAGGTAATATGTTGAAAATTTCAAGCAAATCGCTTTATTATGAGCGGGATTATTGCCGTTGAAGAACAATGTAGTCTCGATTGTCATTGCTATCGTTGTTACGATAATAAACAACGCCTCCATTATTCATTTTTTAAATTAAATTGTTAAATAGCCATCGGTTTTTTAAATCCGTTGAAAATCAAAAGCATCCGATGGCCTAGAACGTTGATAATGGGCTTGGCATGTGAATACATGTCTAATTAATGATTTATATAAAAATTTGAGTCCAAACGAAAAGTCTACATTAGGCATATTTAGCTCTTACATAATGCATCTTTAATAAAATTTTAAAAATCAATTTGCCAATTTTGATATCTCATCTAAGATGTTAACATTAATATTTATAATATTAATATGTGGTGGTAAATTAAAATGGTACCTGTATGGAAAACATTGAAGTTATAGGCCTACTGTGAAGATAAATATATTTCACTTTAGTAACATCATTATAAATATACTAGCTAGAGACAGGAATGTGTTTATCTTAAGGTTCTGTCCACTGTTGCATTCATTGTGAGAATCGCAGAAACAATAATTTAAAAATCTACCAAAATTATCCATAAATTTCTTACAGCCTCTATATTCTGATACTTTACCGTCACCAACTGAGGAATCTGAAAACGAAAGTATTAATGATAGTGTAATATAGCTCTTAACATACATGTAAGATCATTTGCCGGTGGCAATCCCATTACCTAGCGATCCCTGTAATTAAATGCCGATTTTCTGTATCTTATTACCTTGTCCTGTTTAATCAACGGTTTAAGTTAAGCTATAAAACTCCAAAAGGTCCACTAGTAGGGACTTTTCGCATCGGTACGGAAACGAATACGGAAACGAAAACGTCATCTATTCCTTTGTTCTTGTTCTTGTACAAATATCAAAAGGGACAGAGATATTCGGGATATAAAGATATGTTTTAAGTTTCATCAAAATCGGATAAAAATTGTGACCTCTAGAGGGTCCACGGACCACAACTTCGTATTACACATTTCTACACAATTTGCGTACAAAGAGCGGCCATTTTGTCGGGCAGTTCCATTTCGATTTTCCCGAAATACGAATTCAACCTTCATTATGGTGGAATGGTGATGTATTTAAACTTTTTAAAATCGGAAAAGAATTGTGACCTTTAGAGAATCCGCAAGCTAAAAATGCGATTTTTCGAACAATCCGGGGCCATAATCCAGGATGTTAGGTTCGGGTATCCGCAATTATCAAAAGGAACCAAGATCTTAGTAAGTAATGGTGATATATTCACACTTTTTTCTTTAAATCGGATAAAAATTGCGACCTGATAACGGAACATAAGCTAAAAACGTGATTTTTCGTACAATCAAGGGCCATAATTCAGCAAGATACGATCCGATATGCGCGAATATCGAAAGGAACCAATATCTCTGGGTTATAAACATGTATTTCAAGTTTCATCGAAATGGGATCACAATTGTGACCTCTAGAGCCAGTAGAGGGTCCACAACCTCGATTTACCAGATGTTTACACTATTTGCGTACGAGGAGCGGCAATTTTGTCCGGCAGTTTTGGCCCGATTTTCACGAAATTCGAACTCAACAAACATTACGGTGTAACGGTGATATATTCGAACGGTTTTTTTTTTTTTAAATCGAATAATAATTTTATTGTGACCTCTAGAGGGACCACAAGCTAAAAAACGCAATTTTGCGTACAATCAGAGGCCATAATTCGGGAAGTCACGATCCGATATGCGCGACTATTGAAAGGAACCGAGATCTTTGGGTGATAAACTTGCATTTCAAGTTTCATCAAAATCGAATCAAAATTGTAGCCTCTAGTAGAGGGTCCACAACTTTGATATACAAGATATTTACACTATTTGCGTACGAGGGCGGCCATTTTGTCCGACAGTTTTGGTATGATTTTCATGAAATTCGAACTCAACCACCCTTAGGATGTAACGGTGATATATTCGAACGTTTCTTTAAATCGGATAATAAATGTGACCTCTAGAGGGACCACAAGCTAAAAACGCCATTTTTCGTACAATCAGGGACCATAACTCAGGAAGTTATGATTTGATATGTACGAAAATAGAAAGGAACCCAGATATTTGGGTTATAAACATGCATTTTGTCCGTCAGTTTCGGTCAGAATTTTACGAAATTCGAACTCAACCATCCCTAGGCTGTAACGGTGATATATTGTAACGTTTTTTTTAAATCGGATAACAATTGTGACCTCTATGGGGTTCACAAGCTAAAAACGCGATTTTTCGTACAATCAGGGGCCATAATTCAGGAAGTTATGGTCCGATATGCTAGAATATCGAAAGGAACCAAGATCTGTGGGTTATAAACATACATTTCAAGTTCAAACGTTTTTTTTAAATCGGATAAAAATTGTGACCTCTATGGAGTCCACAAGCTAAAAATGCAATTTTTCGTACAATCATAGGCCATAATTCAGGAAGTTATGGTCCGATATGCTAGAATATCGAAAGGAACCGAGATCTGTGGGTTATAAACATACATTTCAAGTTTAAACCAAATCGGATAAAAATTGTGAGCTCTACAATGTTCACAGGCTATAAACATGATTTTTCGTACAATCAAGGGCCATAATCCACGAAGTCACAGTCCCATACATGCCAGTATCGAAAGGAACCGAAATCTTGGGTGATAAACCTATATTTCAAGTTTCATTGAATTCGGATAAAAATAGAGAGTTCACAGACAATAGTGGACGGACGGGCGGACAAGGGCGACGACAATATACGTCCACGTGAAAATGTGGGCGTATAAAAATGGGGGGGGGGGGGTAGGCCTATCATGATAATTCTTTTCCCTATTGATTTAAAGTCTGATTAATAGAATTTCGGGTGATTCAAATACAATTGGTTCATATAATGAAAAGGCTGCACTATGTTATAAGCTACGTAAACGTAAACGAACATTTGTTCGTATTCGTACCGATGCAAAAGGTTCTATTCTTGGCTTACGATTTTTACTACAGTCTTTACTACTCTATGATCCTGTGCCATAAACAGTGTCCTGTTCTTATAAATTCTCCACATGGTCAATCAGTGGTGCAGGGCGTGCAGAAGGGGGGGGGGGGGGCTAGTAAAAAAAACAGTGCCTATTCGTTCGGGTGGGACGAAAAACCGAGATCCCGTATATACATCGGCGTTCAGGTAAATAAAGACCTTGATAGTTGCCATTCCAATAAGAGTAGAAGGTAGCGCAGCTTTCCGGACCAAATTTAAATCATAGCACACTGCATGGCGTTTACCCGTCTTCGTGATTTATAGTGGACAATGTCTTGGTGTGATTGGAACAGTTACGATTTCTTTGGCTTTTGACTGTATGAAACTTGTCACGGGTAAAACAGAAAACGTAAATCGAATGTAAAAAAACGTCTGTTTTTAATTCGATTGCCACATGCTAAACAGTACCAATCTCCGAAATTATCAGTCTGTATCAATTAATGTGAAAGTTGGCTGAAAATAGCCGTCTTCGAAAACTTTGTTTGTCAAGTGGTGGTATATTTAATATAACGTATAGTTTGTAAAATATAATCCCCTTACCTGTCAACGTTAATAGAAGATTAAAATACTGTGTTTCTGTATAACAAAGACGTTGAGCTGATGCAAATTCTAAAGGTAAAAAATCATAATATCCTTATTTAATAACGGAAAGTAAAACTTCTTAAGTATATACATGTCATGTCGATTACAATAATGTTACAGTATAATCTTGTACTATTCATGTACAATGAAAATGTAGCTTATATTCATTTGCCATTCGATATTAGAATTTGATCAAAACTATAATTTAAGCAATAATTTCTCACCATCACTCCATGATTTAGAGCAAACATAACAGCCAGCTCTAGTCGTGGCGCCCTCTCTGCTGGCGTCAAAATAGTCTATAGCACAACCAACACACTCATAACATGACTTCCCTCCAGTACTTTCATAATCTGGGTTTTTATCCGGTGTATAATCACCCGGTATTTGACTCTGTTCATTCCAATCAACTTGTAGCTCATTTCTTGAACCGTCATTCCAACCTATAAAACCAAAGTCTTACTTTAATGGAGTAAAAGAAATTCATTCCTTGCTTCTCCAAAACATCTTTATTTCACTAACTATGTGACATGACGAAATGCGCACCTGACATTTTAAGATTTTAAATTTACACTATTATCTCATTACATGAAAGAAACATCGCAATTTATATTCGACCAAGAGAACCAAACAATAAAAAAAAAAGAAAAACATACCTCCATAGAAACCTCCATCCGGATATATTCCAGGATTCCTCCATGGATATTGTCTAAATTTCAGAATAAAACCAGTTTTATATTCAGATACATCATCAGTACGGAACTGAATTGTTACAAAGTTGTTGGTCGTCTGAAATGTTGTTTTTCTCGGTAATTCAGTTCCACACAGTCCAACTTGGTTTATTCCTGGTAACAGACGGGCATTATCTATCCTATAACCTGTACAGATATAAAATGGCCACTCTTCAATCATGATGTTCAATATTTTAAATGATGAATGTACACAAAATGTAACACTGTTGGTCTAATTACTACGAAGGTTGGGGTGGGGTGGGGTGGCGGTGACGCCTTATCCCAAACCCTTTTTATTACACATAAAAAGAATAAAGGCTATTTTTGCTATCATTTCGTTAAATATTGAAAAGCTACATCCCTCACGAAATGAGGTTTAACGTCCTACTTTTCTGCACCGACTGGGCTAATGGCGACGTGCATACCCTACACAGTGTGATATGGGGTAAAATTTGCCCGGACCGCGCGCTACAGCCTACTCTTATTTTGAATTCCAACTGTCAATGGTTCTTTTACGTACGTGTCAACGTGTATACGGCACATCGGTTTTCCCTCCCATCCGAACGACTAGATAGATTACACAAAACGGACAAGTAACATCGTCTATTCGTTCGAGTGGGGCGTTGACGTGTTCGTAAAATAACCCCTAAAGGTATGGTGTATGCCTGTCTTCAGAGGTCTTGTAGTACGTTAAACCCCATTTCATTTCACGACATTCTGAAGGCAAGTAGCCCTGTTTCCAACAAATACCACTTCAGATGGCGATACCTCGAGAACTAATGAATTTAAACTTCGCCGATTTCCACAAATTAATAGTATTTGATCACGGGGTGGGACTGGACAAAATGCTTTGGTCTCGTATCCCTTAATATTATAATGTACATTACAATATTCATAAATACCACTAGCTGGTAATAAGAATTTATAGCCCAATATCCATTCATAGGCAACTCGACTCTTTGGAGATTATACTTACTATTAAAAATCTTGAGATAATCTTTACAACAAAGACCTCCACAATGATCAGTGGGATAAGCATGTCCATCTATGTCAATGTTAGTCAACTCTAAAGAAATCTGGTGCTGTTTTTTACCAATGATGGTAACCACACAGTTTCTCTCTGCACTGTAATATTGATTGGAATGTGACCGTATATCCTCTTCATCTCGATCTGTAATTCTTATTTCCACAGGTTCACGATATGAGCCGCAGTTTTCGTAACGATCTTGTAGAAAAATGTCCCCTACAAAGGTATAATATTATGATGCAGTCACACAGATATTGACAAATGAACATTTTAGGATTCTTAAGCCCTTAGTGGACATGACAAAGAAAGCAAATGGGTTTGCGCTCTTGTTGGACTTGATTGTTTTGTTCTTTACCCAATTTGTCCTCCATACAGAGACTTGCAGGGTTCAAACTTAAAAAGATCCTTTAGTAAAATTACATTATTTCCAAAGGGTTTCTTTTCAAAGTACTGTGTGTCTTTAATTACAAATTTACTTGTTTCTAGCTCTTTGAAATACACTAGTCCCGGTACCTATATGTAACTCCGGGTAGACAATCATATACCTTCTGATTGTAATCACACAGCAGTAAAATATCTCACTCACTCACTCAAAGGAATTCTTTACAGAAAAATGGGCACAAAAAGAGGACAAATCAAGCCGAAATTAAGACTTTGTGGGAACAAGATGTTATGGAACTTTTTTGTGTTAGACGAAAGGTTAATTTATTTACATACAATTTGGGGGGTAAATACTGGTGATTTTAAGAGATTCGTCAAACTCGGGGTTTTGTAATTCATAGGGCTGGCGGAGACTGATATTTCAGACTATCGAAACAATGAAGTTAGGTGTTCGTTTATTCATTAATCACAACACCGTTCTTATTTTTTTTTTGTGTTTACCGTAAATGTAATCTCACCTGATATACCAGCAACAAACCAGAAGATCAAAGCAAATTTCATGTTTACAATGTTAACTGGACCCTCCATCTTGAATTTACCTGAATGACGTCACATATCATTGTCAACAATTTACCTGTGTAAGGGGAGATAATCCATCAACTGAGGATCATACCGGTACTTGTGACAAAAAAATCAAGTACACCCGAAACGCTATGGTAACCCTTAACAATTCAGTAAAAACATTTTAAATCCATCTGCACCCCATTCCCTCCCCCACAGTACAAAAATTCAGATTAATCATGAAATAAGTTTTTTTTTATTATTACTATAAGCATAATATATTTTTGTATTATAAATATTTTAAGGGTAGCATATCAGAGCTCAAGTCTATATATGGCTGAGGTCTCTATAGACTTATTGACTTTCTTTTAATCCATAAATGCATTCAGATTTTAGTACATACTTGCTTTCTCACAGTGTGATTAGAAATTATAAATGTGGAATACAAAAGGGGGTAAAAAAAATGGGTATCCAACCAACTCGGACCAATTTATTGACCACTAGGACAAACAAAAAGACCAGTCAGACCAAGACAGAAGATTACTCAGATCAAGAGTCCAATTCGTTTTATAATCAAAATACTGATAATAAATATATTGTTATTTCTTATTAAATGATTTTTTGGGTTTGTCATTAGTTTGTTTAATTTTAACAGTTACATGTATTATATTATTCGTATACTGAATTCATAGGGGATCACGTGGCTAAGTGGGTAAGACGCTGGCAAGCTAGCCTTGAGGTCGGGTGTTCGATCCCTGCATTGTCCGAGAAAGTCCATTCAGATTTTCCTGCGTGGTCTTCCCTTGTCAGTGACCCAGGATGGAGGGCCTTACCAGGACAGCTGTCTAGTCGTTCGGATGGTACGGAAAACCGAGGTCCTGTGTACACATTGGCGTGCACGTAAAAGATCCCTTGGCAGTTGGAATTCGATATAAGAGTAGGCCGTAGTGCCGCTGCCCGGGCAAAATTTCCCTCATATGCCCATCTTCATTAGCCCAGGTTAGGAGCAGAACAGTAGGACGTTAAACCCCATTTCATTTCATTTCTGAATTCATTTCTGAATTCATTTGGTGCATATTTTGTCTGTTGATTTGATTAGCTTATAACCCAAGTACAGAAGAAATAAGCACAATACTCAGCTGTCTATCTTTTGTTCATTGATTTTTTATATGCTCAATGATGAGATAATAACACGGGTATTGTACGTAACCTTTATTATAAAAACAAACACAATTATTAAACATACATTATGCAAGAGCTAAATCTGTCTATTACAGGTATTTCTTTAGGCCTGAAATGTTATCTAAATTATTAATTAGACATTAATTAACCTATCCAGACCATAATCAACTCTAGATGGTTATGCAAGCCTGCGATCTTTAGTGGATTATGAGCTGATTTACTGCATAACTTTCCTTCACGATTTAACGATTAAAATTTAAATGGATAATCATGACTATGCTGTTTATCATAATGACTTTAGTTATGATGATTGAGGCTCGGCAGAAATTTCAACCGCTTAGTTCTCGGTTCATAGTGGATCAATTTGAATGAAATTTTCAGCAAATTGCCTTTACATTATCTAGTTTTTATCTATTATAGTGAGAACTGCCAACTCGCTATCGAATCTCCCATAATGTATCTTTAATTTATTATTTCAAAAACATAATGGTCAAAGTACTCTTTTAGTCTATTAATTGGTCCGACTGGTTTATCAATTAGTATTGATTCGTGTAGTCTTTGGTCCAGGTTGTCATGGATTTAACAATGCACACAGCCCAACTACATGAGAAGGGCAATGTGGGATGGTGTTTGGGGGGGTGTGTTTGGGGGGGGGATTATTACATCAATTGAGTAAATGAGTGTTGAGGTGATCTGGTTTGTGGAGAAACTGGAACACAAAAGAATCGAAACAAAACTTTATATTGAATGCATGTTATTACATAATATTCATTAAATAAACAATATGAAAACATACACATGTAGTACTAACATTCAAAATCAGACATATTTTTATATTAAAATAATCCAATTTACAAAACTTTCCATATTTAATTCAGTATGAAGTGATAAGGTAGAAAGATATAGGTCTAATTATGTGCCAGATTCAACACAGTTTCTGCATTAGAAATTCCAAGCATTCAACAGATATTTTAATGTTCAGTTGTGTGGGTGCTCATTTGATAAATAACAAAACTTATTTATAATTCAATGTTAACGATTATATCATTCGAAAAATTGTCATTAGATTTTATCAAGCTTTAGTTGCTGCTTTCACTTGTGCTTGCTGAAACTGGTGCTGTAATTTGGACAAAACCTCTTTATGGGCCTCTTGTTTTTTCTCCAAATCTTTGATCAGACTTTCATGTCTCTTAATTTCTCCATTTATATAATCAATTCTCTTTTGGACATTTTGTTTAGCCTCGTCTAATTCTTGTTTCACTAAAACCGGGCCAATCATTTTGAAAACTGTTCCGTCATCTTTAATAAGATCTAATTCTGCCTTCACCAGGGTATTTTCACTGAGCTGGGCTTCTAATTTCTGACGGCTTGAAATGTATTTCTGCAAATCTTTCTGGACACCTTGAAATTTTTCTATTTCCGATTCAAGTCTTTTTTGGAGTCCTTCTGCCATTTCAATATGTAGAAAATTTCCACACACTTACACTATTTAGAAATTCTCCAAATTTCGATAACCTAAACAAGCACATGCAAAACCAAACTCACTGTGGTGTACTTGATTGAACAACACATAAATTCGTTTCGCACGGCGTTTCACATTTCCGGAAGCCTTTTCACCACGGTGAATGAAAACTAGAATTATTTCCCATGGACCATCGGGTAGGGTTGTGGCGGGCGGGGGTTAGGAGAGAGAGAATGAGTGTGGGCACCCCAACCGCCTCCATTTTTTATTGGCAATTGTTTAAAGTAGACATTCACTAGAATAAAACATAAGATATGGACCAATCATTTGGAAAATTAAATTTTAACTACTGTATTAAGAAAATTGTTTCGTATACATTTATTTAAACATACACTGTCTTTTTATACAATACCTTTGCTTGCTGTTCGACACATACATTATGCAATTAACTTACTACTATGGTGGCTGATTGGTATCATGTCGTGATGTCGTGGTGTCGCCAATGTCGTAATGTTGTGTAAAATGTCGTATTGTCGGGTTAAAATGTTGGGTTGTCGTGGTGTCATGATGTAGGGTTGTCGTGGTGTCGGGTTATCGGCCATATTCCGCTCATATATTATGATTATGGATTATGTTCCCCGAGATTTTGCAGCGCGGTTTCTCCCCGTCGGTAGTGCAGGACAAAGGGCCTGGCAAAGAACAGTGTTTAGTATTGTAGATAGGACAAATAAAATAAATTAAATACCACGGCCCATTGGAAATTTCCGTCACATCACTCTGCATAGCGTATGCCTATCTTGAATAGTCCGATTGGTTCGGAAAAGTTGGAAAATGAAATGAAATGAAATGGGGTTAACGTCCAACTGTTCTGCTTCGGGGGCCCGAGTGGCTAAGTGAGTACGACGCTGGCTCGCTAGTCTGCTTCGGGCGCCACAGTGGCTAAGTGAGTACGACGCTGGCTCGCTAGTCTGCTTCGGGGGCCACAGTGGCTAAGTGAGTACGACGCTGGCTCGCTAGTCTGGACGTCGCGGGTTCGCCCCCGGTGTTGGCCGAGAAAGTTCATCAATATTTTCCGGCGTGGTTTCCCCTTGTCAGGGGTGCTGGAAGGAGGGCCTGACAAGGACATCTGTCTAGTCGTTCGTATAGGACGAAAAACCGAGGTCCCGTGTATTCATTGGCGTGCACGTAAAAGATCCCTTGGTAATTGGAATTCGATATAAGAGTAGGCCGTAGCACCACTGTCCGGGTAAAATGTCCCTCATAACACAATGAATGAAGTACGCCCGTCTCCATCAGCCCAGTCGGAGCAGTACAGTAGGACGTTAACTCCATTTCATTTCATTTCGTTCTGCGCCGACTGGGCTAATGAAGACGGACATACCCTATACAGTGTACTATGAGGAAAACTTTACCCAGATAGCAGCACTACGGCCCACTCTTATTTTCAATTCCAACTTGCAAGGGGTATTTTACGTACATTTGAACGACTGTCAAAGCAATTTAAGTAACTATTCTATTAAAAACAAAGAGGCTAGATTTTAACATAGAAGTGAGTAGAGAGAGAGATAGAGAGAGAGAGAGAGAGAGAGAGAGAGATGGGGTTTAAGGTCCACTCGACACAAACTAGGTCATTTCGGGACTAACATATGGTTTAATTTTATTTACATAATTCGCTTGCGCGTGGGGGTTTTTAGCATTGGGTGGAAACCGGAGGATCCGGAGAAAACGCACGAGGTTGGACAGGCGACCCTACTCCTTGTCATGTACAACCGGGGATTCTAAAGAAGTGATTAGAAGTGAGACTTCTAGACAGTAGACTTTCAGAAGAAGAAAAACCTGTTTTGATTTATACTGATCCCTGGGTTAAGAGACGCACGGTTGCGAGGGTCGCGATTAGATAACAGAACTTTCGATCTTTAATCCAAGTCCATCTAACGTCCATTTATAATCTTTCCTTGTGTCCTTTATCCATCAAGTAATTCATTGCTATCAGTTATGATCAGTTAAAACAAGTGGTTGCCATGCAAGATATGCCCACATTTTGCGAGAAATGGATGGGGAAGTGGTAAAATCAATAGGGCTTATCCTCTCATTCAAGATCTTTTGATCCTTTTCAAAATCCATACATATTTCAAATTTTGCGTGAAAAGCAGGGGCTATAGTCTAATCTGTAAGATCTGATGCTACCAAAATCGAACTCATTCAAGAACTTTTGATCCTTAACACACAGTTTAAGTTTCATCATGAAAGATCCACAAACTTTATTCATATTTCACATTTTGTGTAAAGGCAGGGGCAGATGCGTAAGAAAATTGAACTCGCCCAAGACCTAGTGATACTCGTTTTAAGTTTCATCTAAATCGGATAAAATTGTACTCTAATTATGGTGTAACGCTGGTATATTTGAACAGTTTTGAAAATAAGATGCAAACTGTGACCTCTAGAGGACCCATAAGCGAAAAACGTGATATTTCGTACAATCAAGGGGTCATAATCCAGAAAGTTACGGTCCAATACGCGCCAGTATCGAAATGATCCCAGATCTTTGGGATATAAATATATATATATATTTTAAGTTTCATAAAAATTGGATAAAAATTCGAAACGCTGGATGGTCTACAACCTGGGTATTACGGTCAGAACTGAATATTAAAGCCCCCGGCACATTTCGTCAAGGCCACGACGGTAAACATGGTTAGGGCACGTGATTGTTGCCGACGATTGTGGGTTAGGGTAAGGGTTAGATTTTGGGTTAGGGTTGGCACTAGCCCTATTTAGATCTCCTGATCTTGGCGCAATCTGCCGTTGGCCTTAATATTTAGATCTAATCTGGGTATTGCATGTTTTTAGGGGAGCGCCATTTTGTCGGGCATTTCGGTCCAATTTTGATGAAATGTGAACTAAACCGTAATTATAGTGTAATGGTGATATATATTCGAACGCCGTTCAAATCGAATAAAAATTGTAACCTCTAGAGGGACCAGAAGTTAAAAACGCGATTTTTCGTACAATCAGGGGCTATAATATGGAAAGGAACCAAACATAGATTTCAAGATGGATGAGTTGTCTTTTATCATGGGATGAGCTGGCTTCTAACTTAGGTTGTTGTTGTTAGTTAGTTGTATTTTACGTCCGCTTCCACCGAGGTGATATCGCAGACAAAAACTTGGGATGAGTTGTCTGTTTATATCCCAATATAAGACAACTCATCCCAAGTTAGAAGACAACTCATCCCAATTTAGAAGACAACTCATTCCAAGTTGGGATGAGTTGTCTTTTATCATGGGATGACTCGTCTCCTAACCTTCGGATGAGTTGTCTTATATTGGGATGAGCTGTCTTAAAATGAGCTGTCTTTGGGATGAGTTGTCTGTATACCGCTAAGTTTGCCTCTGCCTAACAGTGACACCCCTTTGAATAAATTAGTGAGTGCTAAGAACACAATAACCAAGTTGGACTTGGTCATTTAACTTCCGGTATTGAACTTAAAGACAAAAAGATAAAGGAAAACTAAAACAGACGAAAAAAAAGTTACCGAAGTTATCTTAACGGCGATGCATAAAGATAAATGTATTTTAAGCTTCAATAGGAAAGTGCATTAAGGTAGGCTATTTATTATGAATATTAATATAGATGCATGGTAAATATGTTTATGGTAAGAAAAAAAAAGTCGATAACTCTGAACTGTCAAAAAAGTAAAAAACTAAATAATAATAGGCCGAGCCCTTGCCCTTGGTCTATATTTTGTATTGTTCCTTGTGGCTAGTTTCGGGGCAATATATTTTTTTTAATCAGATAATTTAATTTGCCACAAAATTGAGCAATTCTAAAAACCTTTACCAGTAAGTAAATCTGTTATCTCTGGACACTCTGGTGGCTTAAAATCAATTTCACATTAAAAAATTCCAATATAGGTGTCATAGCTAATTACAAATACTGACTATTATATTAGTATTACTGTTTATACAATACCACAGCTAGGTTCCATTGCTTGCACAAAGTTGCATTGGATTAAATCAGTGTTTTTGGGTGTGTTTTTGCAACATCTTTGCATTACGGACTTATTGTCGGTTGTAAACTTGTAATACTTTAAAGATTTAAATATAAGAAATTTTGTTCTGTTTCAGTGTTTGATATAATTTTCATATTTAATTAAGCTTACCTGTTCATTTTATTATCAAAGACGGACAGAACCCAATACTCACCCAATACTAAAAATACTACCACATATTACCTCATTATAGTGAAAAACTAACATAAGATTTTCTTTTTTTTTTTTTTTTTAAAATTGACTTAATTTGTGGAAAAATTGCATAAAATGTATGGCAAAAGTTATATGATAGTCAATAATTCAACGTCTTGCATTAAAGTAGCTAAGACGAAGTCTCTAACTCAATAAATATCATCCAAAATCTTCGACATTGAAAACACAAATTATTTGTCAGTTTAAATAAACATTGGTGTTGTGATTTTATCGGGAAAAGATGGGCTTCTGATATGCAATATTTAAGACAAAATAAAAATTTTACCATGATAATGTGATTCAGCGCCATATATATAACAGGGGACTCCAAGAACATATGGCTAGAGACATATTCCACATATTCATGTCAAACGGTGACACCATATTCTTATCTGGAGAGTCGGGAATCACATGGCTAAGAGGGTAAGACGGTCGCTAGCCTGGAGGTCGGGTGTTCGATCCCTGCATTGGCCGAGAAAGTTCATCCAGATTTTCCAGCGTGGTTTCCCCTTGTCAATGTCAGTGATGCAGGACGGAGGGCCTGACAAGGACAGCTGTCTAGTCGTTCGGATGGGACAAAAAAACTGAGGTCCCTTGTACACATTGGCGTGCACATAAGAGATCCCTTGGCAGTTGGAATTCGATATAAGAGTAGGCTGTAGTGCCGCTGCCCGGGTAATATTTCCCTCATAGCACACTGTATGGCATATGCCCGTCTTCATTAGCCCAGTTTAAGAGCAGAACAGTAGGACGTTTAACCCCATTCCATTTCATTTCATTTATCTGGAGAGTAACCAGACGCTAGAGATTATCATTCAATTGAGATTTCTGGCATATTTCGCCGAACATACCTGATTAGAAATTACAGTAAAAATAGAAACGATTCAATATAAATCGGTTTATATACATTAATATTACATTATTATATGCGATGCAACCCATTTGTGTCAATTTCTAGGTCCCAAATATTAGTGATTAGCTCCTTTAACTCAATTTTTTTTGTATAATTCAACTATTTTGTTTTTCACAATAATGAGGTAGTATGTGGTGGTATTTAGTATTACCTGTACATGTATTTAGTTAATATTGGGTAAATCGGCCTACTCAAAGGTCACCGAAAAGGTTCATAAATTTTTCAAATAATGCAAGTAATTATGTCAGCATATCCTTTCCATAAGTATAACCCGAACCCGAATGTCAATATTACCTGCAACAGGTAAATTTCAACATTCGTAATTTCCGCCATTCTCCGTGGGTTGTCGTAACTTTCCGTAAATAAACAATCTGTGTTAGCACAATTACTTGCATTATTTAAAAAAAAATTGATGCTTTTCCGGTGACCTTTAAAGGAGCCTATGTTCGGAATCTAAAATGGACAAAAATGGGTCAAAGAGCACACATGTCTATATATATATATATATATAAACCGATTTACATTAAATTTTTATTGTAATTTCTAATCAAATACGTGAGCAGTCATGGCAGTCGCTTGCCCATGGCCATGGTTAGTCGAGTCTAAATCAGTAGGACAGTTTGATCACTTAAGCACCGACTTTTTTTTCTCGTTCATCAAGGCGCCTCGTTATGAGGTCTATAATTATAAAGAAAAATATCTCAACCAGACTGATCTTAAAATATTTATTGTGTCTTAGATATTGGATAATATTAAATTCTTTTTTGTGTTTTTAATGAACATGTTGTATAGATTGTGGATTAATATTTAATTGTAAATTTACTCACTCAAAAAATTATTTGATATATGGCCAGTTACATGTACATGTCACATGTTCAAAAACACTTTTCACTTTTTCGTTAACAAAGGCAAATCCTTACAAAAAGAATCAATTAAATTTGTAAATAATTAATATCGGGAATGCCAGTCTATGGTTACAATAGTAATTTTTACTGAAGACTTTGCAAACAAGTGTTATAGTCTTTACGGAACTTTATTTTAAAAAAGTTTTTGGACTATGCAAACACAAACAGGGTTTATATGCATGGTCTAGTCTTTTTTATGATTTTAAACCATTCCACATTTTCTTATCTTAATGTATGGTCTATGAGTTTGGGCCAGCAACTACAGGCATAAAGTGCCAGTGCCATCGCCAATAATATACTAAAAATGATAATGTTTTTAATCTTAAAACTTAAAGGGAATGCCAAAATTTAGCTAGCTTGAGATATTGGAGTTGTTCTTTGCTAATTAATGAAATAGTGCTAATCAACAATTCATCATTAATGTGGTTCAGGTACTCTATAAATGCTTCATTACATTTTAAACTGTACATTGTAATATACTTTCTATAACTGCAGAATTCAAACACTATTTAAAAAATGCCACCCTATATACCAATGCAGACAATTTAACTGGCTGACAAATTCATGTAATCTGGAAAAAGGGCTTCAAAGAAAATATGATATATATGTATTGTAACTAATGTAACCTGAGAATTGAAATGAAACAGAATAGACATTAAATTTATTCATATTGCCAGTGCCTTGAATAATTTACTTTTCTCTCTTTAATAGATTTAATGCATTGAACAGAATTTTGGATATCTGGATTTATATCCTTTAAACCAGTATAAAATAACATAGAGTTAATAATAGGTTTTTAATTGTGTTACTTCGCGATATTAGTGTACATTGATCATTCTGTTAACATATTACTTTCTATTAATGGTTTGTTAAACATATGTGGCACAAAGACTTTGAATGCTGTTCAAATAAATCAAGAGTGATCTATCATGTAGTACATTCATGATTTTATGTGCATTATTATCAGTATGAGTATCGGTACAAGGTTGAAAAGACAAGAAGATCAACCTTGAATTACCACTTGACTGAAAGGTCAACCTTAAATTACCACTTATTACATGTATATTTTGCATTGTATTAAGTTCATAAAAAAAACCTAAGTGGGTAAGACGCTGGCTCGCTAGCCTGGAGGTTGGGTGTTCGATCCCTGCATTGGCCGAGAAAGTTAATCCCGATTTTCCGGCGTGGTTTCCCCTTGTCAGTGATGCAGGACAGGGCCTGACAAGGACAACTGTCTAGTCGTTCGGATGGGATGAAAAACCGAGGTCCCGTGTACACATTGGCATGCACGTAAAAGATCCCTTGGCAGTTGGAATTTGATATAAGCGTAGGCTGTAGCGCAGCTGCCCTGGCAAAATTTCCCTCATAGCACACTGTATGGCGTATGCCCGTCTTCATTAGCCCAGGTTAGGAGCAGAACAGTAGGACGTTAAACCCCATTTCATTTCATTTCATAAAAAACCCAGCAGTTGCCAGGCAAGATATGCCCACATTTTGCAAGAGATGGACAGAGAACAAGCTAAACAAAAATGTGATTTTTTGTACAATCAGGGGCCATAATCAAGTTACGGTCCGATATGCACAAAAATAAAAAGAACTGAGATCTTTTGGATATTAACATATATTTTAAGTTTCATCAATCAAGATCGGATAAAATCTTTGACTTCTAAAGGGTCCATAACCTTGGTATTACATACTTTTACACTATTTGCGTACAAGCAGCAGCCATTTTGGAGGGGTTGGATGGCTGAATGTTTAGCGTGTGCACGCTGTATCATAAGGTCTGTCATTGAGTCAACTGGCATGGTTTCAATTCCCCTGTTGTATGTGAGTAGGGTCGCCTCTCCATCCTCGTGAGTTTTCTCTAGTTCCTCTGGTTTCCTCCCACTGCTAAAGACCCCTATGTGCAAGCGAATTATTGAAATAGAATTGAACCATATATTAGTCCCAAAATGACCTAGTTTGTGTCAAGTGGACGTTTAACCCCATTTAAAAAAAAAAAAACAGCCACTTTGTCAAGCAGTTTTTGTCTGATTTTTACGTGATTTGAACTCCATTATCATTAGTGTGTAGCGGTGATACATGTATATTTAAACAGGTTTTTTTTAATCAGACAAAAATTGTGACCTCTAGAGGTTTCACAAGCTAAAAATAATGCAATTTTTCATACAATTTAGTGGCCATAATCCAGGAAATTATCAAAAGGAATAAAGATCTTTGTTTGGGTTATAAACACACATAAAAAATTGTGACTTCTAGAGGATCCACAACTGTGGTATTACATAGTTTGAGACTATTTGCGTACAAGGGGCGACAGTTTCAGTTGGATTTTTACAAAATTTGAACGCTACCTTCAGTGAGGTGTAACACAACAGTGATATATTTAAACATTTTTCAAAATTGAATCCAAATTGTGACTTTTAGAGGGTCCACAAACTAAAAACATGATTTTTCGAACAATGAAGGGCAAGGATCTAGGAAGTTACGTTGTGATTATCGAAAGGAACTGGGGGGGGGGGGGGGGTGGATGGCTGAATGGTTA